TCTCCCAGGCACTTTTCCCACTTCCCCCCTCCTTCGGGCCGCTGATGGCTTTCGCGTCGGCGTTGGCTTTCGCCAGTTGGCTGGAGAGGTAGCAGGCACCTCTCAGCATTCAGGGGCTCAGCTGTTGCACGGGTTCGACCTGTCGCGCTTGCAGCCGAGTAGGTGTTCTTCAACAACCCGGCTGAAGGCTGACATGCGCTGACCATCGTAAGCTCACTTTCGCTCATCTCACCCTTGTGCGCAGACAGGCACCGGCGGGGACAGAGTCCTCCTTCCAGGTGAAGACGCTGCAGCCCGCCATCCTGTGCAAGAAAGAAGCGAGGGGCCTTGCGATGTTGAGGCGGATATGATTATCCGGCTGCTGCCATCCGGCCACTGATGCTTAAAACACATGTAACCCTTTTAAGCCGATTCTTGAAATCTCTCAAGCCCCGAAGCGTCAAACCCTGTACTAGAAAAAGAGCCGAGAACTGTCGCCAACGGATCCGCCCGCTCGCCCGCTCTTCAACTACGACTGGAGGGTGTCCGATGTTCAGGCGTCCTCCAGATGTAGCGCAGCACGCATTTGTTCCCACAGTAAAGGGTCCCGATTGCACACGCCCCGTAATCGCAACTACTTACTGTCGCTGTACACCTTTATGATTTCAAACAGCCACGAAATACGAGGCTGCCCACAAGACGCGCCTACTTTCCCTAAAGCCAGAGGTCAGCAAACCAAGCTCCAGCCCCTGGCTGCAAGCCAAGCGTCGCCTGGCAGCTCCTTTTGGGCAGGACGGTTTTGGGATTCGGGTTGTTCAAGCTGGCACGGCCGCCGGATTTCTGTATTCCTGGCACCCGCTTTGAAAAATATTGTGCTAGATACACTACACTTTCAGGAACATGCTGACTGGCATGTGCGCCTGGGCAGAACCTAGCCTCAAGTAAGCTCTTGGGGCCACTGAGCTGTCAAAGCCTTGCACCCGACCTAACACTGATCAAGCTAATAATGGCTACTGTAAACCACAACATGCCACGACGCCTTTAAAGACAAACCTCGTAGCCTTGAACTCCAAGCCGGCAGTAATCTGAAGCTTGGGTTGAGGGATGTGAGGTTTCGGCGGCTTTGCTTCTGGACTGTTTACGGACCCGATGGCCGAGGGTCTGCTGGCAAGCTGTGGAGGAGGTGACGTAGGCCCCATTCGGCACAGCGCCGGTGCCGGTGATCTCCTGGCTCAACCCTGTCTGTGGAACCCTCAGGCCTCAGGCACTCATCCACAATCCTGAAAACTTACAGTACAGTACAGCAACAAACCCGCCCTTTGAAGCAGAGCAGCAGAGGGTGGCGAGGAACGGTTTAAGTAAGTTCTCGGCTTCTGACATTTCTGGAACGCAGCTCATGTGGGAAGTTGGTGCAGAGCCGGAGGCTCTTGGAACCCCAAGTAAACCCTACATGCATTTTAAATGTGCATTGTCAGGAGTCAGGACTTGCTCCAATGGCTTTACGATGCTTTACGGTATTTTGCACCGCCAAGACACAAGCTGTGACAACCAATGAGGGTTGTACTACTTGAGTTTCAAGAGAAGCGTTGATCACATTGCACCAAGGGGCCGGGAACCGGGGGGGGGGGGGAGATTTCCTCCAACCCTTTTTTCAGAAGGGACTCGACTGCTGCCCTTACTGCCCAGCCCTACAGCCCTTACCTCCCACCGGACCCTACTTGACGAGGCACGTAGGCCATGCCCGGTGTGGCGCAGGAAGGCATATCGCCGGCCTGGGCAAATCCACGTCAAGGCAGCGGGAGGCATGCACTAACAGATCATGGAAGCCTGCACTAACAGCGGTCCAAACACATTGATTGCATCTATCATCATTGTTGCATGGCTCGCCCAATCCCAAGGCCCTCGACCTCTCCATTTTGCCTGCCCTGACCCGACGAAAAAAACACAAATTCAAGAACAAACAATCTGGAAGGACAAGGCTCGGCGGCAGCTCCGCGCAGGGCAAGGATGACGGAGAGGCCACGGATCATGATGCTTACCTGCTTGAAAATCAAGTGACCAGATTGGGGGTGGGTGTAGGGGAGACACCAACTGGTGGATGTTGGCTGGCAAAGGCCCCTTTTCGCTCGGGAAAGCTAGGTGTCGTGCTCGGATGCAGAATCTGTGCTAATGGTAGTGGCGCTGTGGCGGGCACTTATGCTGCCTTCTGCTCCATAGTCAAGACTGGCAACAACTTCCCCGATGCGCCTTGTCGGAGATCCGAGTGAAGCCAGGAGCTAGAGAGGGCTCGAGCAGAGGTGCTCACGGAAAAGTCGCGGATGCTTTGCCCTGCTGTATGTTCTGGGAGATCCTGCTGCGGATCGCATGTTGGTGGAGGACGATCTACGAAACACTATAACTTATAGCATCTCTTGGCACCTTTTCCTCGCGTTCGTTCGTCACCAATTGCAAGCAGGTTTTATCATCAAATCAAGGCTAGCTTAGCTAAGTGCGTAGTTAAAATCCATATTGCCACTCGTGTGGCGTTGGTTTTCGAGCTTGGCTGGCTAATGGTTGAATGATGCGACTCATCTGTGTGATGTGGTTCAGCAATTAGGCTAGTGGTGTGCCAGGGCGGTGCATTGCCAAGCCAAATCTCGTCTCGAATGAAAGCTCTTTGGCAGGTTCCAGTTCTTTGAGTGGGCACCCGCCTGAGTCAAGTTCAGAATTTCACCTCGGCTAGCCGTCTTTCATTTTCTTGCTCAGACTAGATACAGTATCCGCATGCGCAAGTGTTGCGTCTTTAGAAGCAAACGTGGGTGGCAAGCAACGAAGGTCATCGTGTGGGTTTATCGGAAACGGAAACACAGCAGCACCTCAAAGCTAGATGACTCGAGACTCCTAGTCAGACCGCTCTGGAGCATGGTGCCCGATGTTGGGTCTTTCATTGTGGGGTCGTGCCTCTGCCTGAAGATGCCCTGAATGAAGCAAGTTAGTATCCCGAGGCATCCCAGGATGTCCCAGGAAGCAGAATGACTCGAAGGGCGACCTCCGAATCCGCGCTTCCATCCTTGCGTGTGACCTCTCAGGCTGAGGCTGGTAGCAGGAGGCCGTAGCTCAAGGCAGCGACGACCTCCCCATGGGGAGCACTTTCAGGGTCACAAGAGCGTCTTCAAACATCTTTGACAGCTCTTGAGCTCCTATCAAAGATGGCATGTGGTGGCGCGGCTGGCAGAAGCCCTGCCAACTCCGAATGTCTCCAAATCAACCTCTTCATTGCCCGAATCACTGCAACCTCGCTGTCCTGTGTTTCCTGAAGCTCTGGACTTTACCAGCTAAGGCGCATCCTCCGTCCCCCACGACCCATGCCGAAAGGAACAACGTGGAACACAGCACGCTTCGGCCTAAACCATCGGGTACTGATAGGAGTACGCGGTGGCGGGCGCGCTGGCGGGCTGATAGGCCGGCGTGGCCGACACTGGGTTGTAGTAGATCCTTGCAATCAATGCCCATGTCTGCAGCAGGGCAACTTGGAGGCAGCTCTTCACCCAGGGCCCGAGACTTGAGAATTGGGGGGGCGGGGGGGGGGGGGGGTTGAGGGCCGCTCTTGTTTAGTTGAGCCATTAGGGTTGCAGGGTTTAGGGCTGAAGGCTGACAGGATTAGGATTCAGCTTAAAGGGCTTGATTAGGGTTTAGGGCTTAAGGCTAAACCCGAAATGAACCCAAAACCCCAATTTCAGGTTTTAGGGTTCAGGCCCCCTAGTTTTAAATATTATTTTCCGGCCGAGGTGAGTTTTTTTTTTTTTTTTTTTTTTTTTTGGGGGGGGGGGGGGGGGACGGTTTTAGGAAAAGGGGGAGGGGATTAACCCCTCCTCAAAGTAGGCAACCACGACTGGAAGTTTCATCTATGAGGCGAGGCGCTGCGGCGCCGCGGACTGAACCTGCAGGCTGTTGGGGTTTTAACACATGCTTCGGGCGGTTGCTGCAGCTGCCAACTCCGGGCCCTGCTTGCTGCTTCAAGGTCATCCGCGCCTGCTGGGCCATGGGCTGCATCATCATGCCCTGGTAACCCTGGTACTGATTGTAGCCTGACCCAACGCGGGGACTGGCCACTGTTCAGGAGAGAGAGAGAGAGAGAGAGAGAAAAAAAATAAAAATAAAATAAAAATAGAGAGCGAGAGAGAGAGAAAGAGAGAGAGAGAGGGATAGGGACAGAGACGCATCGAGACAGAGAAAGAGACGGACATGCCAAACTATGAGCAGCATGTGCCCGTGCATAATAATGCAGGACTCAACATGATCCGTACTTCGGGGTCTTGGGTGGGTCTCCCTAAACAGCTGGGCCCGAGGCATCCTACTCGGACGCCCGCAATTTCTGTGCAAACCTCCTGGAGTCGGTATCGGCACTGCGATGCCTGCCGGCATCGCCGGGGCCGCGGGAGTTGGTGCAGCAGGAGCAGGGGCTTCCTCCGACACGGAGTCGCACTCAAAGGATGGGAGGAGAGGAGAGGCACAGGGGCTCCATCTTCAAGGGTATAATATGTAATGCATATTTTTTACATATCTATATCACCTTTTCTTTAATGGTATAGAGGAAGCCAAGTACCTTATCTAGGAGAGGCACGGGCATAATGACTCTCATCCACAAGATCCATATGCAGGCGGGTCCCTTGGCAGACTAAAGAGCCTCCCGAAAATCCTCCCCCAACCCCCCCCCAACCCTTCCCTGGAGCTGCGCTGCCATGGTCCTCAATCATGGGCGCCTGACAGGCCAACAAATATCCAGCCATCTAGAGCCGGACGGAGTCCCACCTTTACTCGTCCCACCTTTGCTTTCTGCGCTGGCTTGCACAAAGGCACCGCATGTACCCAACGCTCGAAGGAAATTGCAGGCTGCACAGAGATCAAGAGCTGGCTTACTATAGAGCAAGACATATAATTAATGAGCTTCTATAGATATATAATGCCTTCTCACGGAGGTAGTTGCCGCAGTGATCTTACAACATGCTGCGTGTCGCAACCTGCAAACATGCCAAGGCAGGTCAAAAAAACATAGCATGAAGTTTGTCTAACCATCTCCTCTCGCCTGCTCCACGCCGACAGCACGCTTCGACTTCTTCTGCCGCCGAGAGATGATCAATGTGGGATAAAAGTGGATTGGGGGATGGAAGACTGTGAGCGATCGCTGGGGGGGTGCGGGAGGGGTGGTGTGCACGCCTCAGAATCTGTTGATCACTCCTAGTGTCCCAAGCACCAAAGCTGAAGCTCCGGAAGCGCATGCAGGCCTTCTTCTTCTCTCCTCCAGACATGAAGTAGTAGGCACCACCGGCCAAAGCCGCGACTCCCGCAATGCCACCTTCGTCAGGGGCGTGGTTGAATCTAGTCGGAAGTCTGAAAACATCCGCCCCCAGTTTCAGCCTGTGATTAAGTGAGTCCGAGGCCGAAAGGTTCAACATGGAACTGGAACGAGCTGCCAAGCCACCAATCACGCCGTAGAGCGTGCCGTTGCCGCCACCGCCCTCTGCTCCAGGGGCAGCGCCCAGGTCCTCTGGGGCGAGTTCGGGCCTCAACCCTCCGTCCGTCCCACCCCTCAGCCCGAGAAAACTCGAGAGCGGGACCGAGGCGACTTTTGGACCACAGAACATGCACGTGACCGTGCGGCGAGAACAGGATCTGTCACGTCGGGCAGTGCTGAAGCCTTGATGTTTGCCGTAAAATCTGTGCCTCTCAACAAGAGCACTTTGGTGAAATTTCTGCATACATGAGCGCGAACTCTTTGGTAGGGAGCCAGAAGTTGTGCAGCATGAAGCCCCAATTCCCTCCCAGAAATTCAATGAATTAATTCCTACTATTTAGGGCTGCAAAAGGATTTGGGTTCTTCTGTGGACCAGAGATACACCCGTCAACTCTGCAGTGGCCATCCCGGTGTCCAACTGTGAGGACTTGCAACCTTGAGCATCCCGACGTGCCTCACTCTGCGCCAGCTTGGTGATCTGCAAGGCAGGGGGTTGGAGAGCGGCCGGTGAGGGTCATGACAAGTTTTGGGGGAACAGTGGCAGCACAAGATGCGCTGGGATGTACATGGAAGCCTTCGAGCACTATCGACTAGGAGACTAGCACTGGGAAACAGCATCCCTGACCGTGAATAAACCTCTCGGCGGCCTGGTCCGCTGCCGGTCCTTATGGCTTTGAAGTCGCAGGCTCTCCGCTATGGCTTCCCGGTCGATAGGGGCCAATCGCCAACCAGGCCCTCAAGTTGTCTTGGGGACAAAACCTCTTACAGCCCCACACCCCGTCAAGTGCTTCAGAATTGATGGCCGTGTCTCCAAGGACTTCCTTCGCCGACGTCTGGAACTGGGCGGCCGCCTGGCTGCTACAGACATGCTTGGCTGTCTGTGCAGAGGGATGCGTTTCCTCTCTTGTGATGCGTTAAAGGAGAAGCTGTATACAACCTTGGCCCATGGTTCCAACATCTCGTCACCCAGAAGCCACACTAGACTCCGGACCGGAAGCCGAAACCACCGTCAAACTTGAAAACGCATGTGCCAAAAACAAGACCCCGCGCGGCGGATGTAGATCCACTGCTTGTTCTTCCCCTCCCTTCATGCACAGTTGAGAGCTGCAGCCATGACTTCTGGTTTCTGACGCAGGCACGACAAGGCAAGTTGTCATATAGACAGAACGCAACGCAACAATGTCCCGATAGGTGCTACCTGCTTGTGCGTGACACTTGTCGCAGGTCTGCGCAAGCCCGCAACCCGAAGCCCTCAACCCCTCGTGAATTGTGCACCGGGAGGCTTTTCCTCGTCGCCCTGCCATCCTATAAGTGCTTTTTTTTCACCCTAAAGCAGCCATGTGCCTCACCACTCAGGCCCGCCAGCGTGCTCATCTGCGCCAAGGCCGGGGTAAGGTTTGGGGACACTTCCTTGAACCACTCAGTTTGGGGTATGTACGTCACGCAGCGCGCACGTCTGCCAATGAGCTGCACAAACTGCACACAACGTTTGCTATTTCAGTTTCTGCGTCATCCCACAGTAGAACACTGCATTCTTTTGTTGGATGTATTCCTCGAGAACGTGCCCGTGACTAGCATTGCGAAACACGCGCCAAAGAGGCCTCCAACCAGAGGCCAGCAGCTAGCGCCCCGAAACAGCAGAATTAACCCCCAACAACCTCTCGGCTGGCCTGATCCGCTGCCGATCCTGGTTTGCACAGCAAGGGATGTCGGGTCGCAGGCAGGGGTGCAGGTGCTGTAGCACGTCTCCTCCTGTGTCGTATTGTTGCCTTTTTTGTGTGTTTCTTGTCTGGCCTTCTGCTGACTTTGCAGTTGCATGCCATCCACTATGGGACCCCAGTCGGCCATACCTCAAATAGTGTTCGACACAAAAGACACAAAGGATGTACGTTTACTCAGCTTTATGGCTGTTTGGCATGGTGGCAGTTTGGCTTGCGTGCCCGGTAGGCCAAGAAAAGCCCCAAGCAAGTAAAGAAAGCCACGCAGAAAGCCGCGACGGCCTACCTCAAAGACCCGAGAAGGAAGGTCAACCAGACCCTCAAGTTGTCGCGGGGCTTACGGCCCCGCACCCCACCAAGTGCTTCAGCATTGATAGCCGCGTTTCCCAGAATTTCGTCCGCCGACTTTTTGAGCTGCTCGGGGGTCTGGCGGCAGGCTTGGCTGGGGTGCAGAGGGAAAGGCTGCCACCTTGTGTTGCGTTGAAGGCCCTATTGAAGGCAAGGCACAACCCGGGTTCGAGTTTATAAGGCTTGGCATGCATAGTTCTCCACATGCCTCCAGGGTGGAGCCCCTCACACTGCTTTTCCAACAGGCCTCAACCTTCAGCCCTAAACCAGCCACGTGCCTCACCGCTCACGCCCGCCAGCGAGCTGATCTGCGACAAGGCAAAAAGGGGTGGGCAGCGATTGGAGAAGACTGTACAACATTTGCTACATCTGTCTTTCTTTGGCGTCCCGTTGCCCAAGCCCGCACGACAAGCACCGAATCCCTGACCCCAAATACCTTTCGGATGGCCTGGTCCGCTGCCGATTCTTAGCGCATCGTGTTCACATGGGGACAGGATCATACCACTAAAGAAATCAAAAGCAGCTCACAGGCTCTGGCCCTCTGCAGACGCAAAGCCTTTCCCAACACAAAACGACCGAACGACTCATGGTTGTGTCATGTCACCCGCATGCAGGCCCTCCTAAGCCCACCCAGATCGCTCTCTAGACATGAGGGGTGGGGGGGGGGGGGGGGTGGGGAGGGTGCACCTGACATTCAGAATCGGTTGTAGTGACATCAGCTCTCACATTTCAGGTGGTCATCGTCCTCTTGCCAGTTGGATCCCATATGAAACCGATTGTCCACCCGAGCCGCCCCCCAAACAGCTATGCGGGGTTAGAACAACTCCCAACATTGGCCATCATTCGGCATGGCAGCACATACGGCCAGGAAGTACCAACTTCACAGCAAAGCCACAAGCAAGTATATACACAGGTTACACGCGTCAGCGCGGTGGAGATTCCTACCTACACTGCTCACGACTCAAGGACCCGCTAAGCTGGAAGCCTGAAGCCTGAAATCGCAGTTTTTTGGATGGATGTGTTGGGAATTTGGGCTGTTCTGATACCAGCCTGGCAATCATTCGGAGGGGAGCACTGCAGAGCGGGAGGCCAAAAATGGGGGCCCTGGCCAAACGCCAACTAGACCCCCAAGTGCTCTTGGAGTCAAACCCTTACGAGCCTACACCCCAGCAAGTGCTTCAGAAATCATGGCCATGGCTCCAAGGAGTTCCTTCGTCTCCGTCTGAAACTGCTCGGCCGCCTGGCAGAGGGGTGGCATTGAAGGCAAAGCGCCTTGCGATGCCTCGGCAATCCTTCGTCGCAGTTGTCTGGTTCTGGGCGTGGTCGATTCTCAGGCTCGAGCCTCTAAGCATCAGCCCAGTCCAAGCCATGGGTCTACGGCATGGGTCATTTTATGGCATGGGTTGAAGATTCAGAATGTACTTTTACGGTGCGCATGCGCGAAGTGGGCTCCACCGCGGCAGAAGAAAGGGGGCAAATGCCTAGCCACCTAGCCGCTAGCCGTCAAACAGCGGGGCCGGGAGCATCTACAGTTTAGGCTTTGGGGCTCACAACCCCAAGCCCTCGGCCCTCAACCCTTTTGCAGCGGTCTGCTCCGAGTCGTCTCCCCACCCTTGTGCCTGACCACTCTTGCCCGTCAGCTTGGTGAGCTGCAGAAAGGCAGGGGTGGTGCGCCGTTGGCTTGGGGCTACAACTTGTCAGGGCACAGCAGCAACAATCTCTTGATATGTGTTCCGTATGCAGTGGGGATGGTTGGAGAAGCACCAACCTCTCCACTTCATGCATAACAAACACACACACACACACACACACACTTACCAATGGGCAGCGCTCGACGCTTGCTCTATGTCAGTTGCTGTACTCTATCATCCCACACTGGAATGCTGTACAGTACCAATCTAGATTCTGCGGCATGCGTTTTTTCCGTGAGTCTGCGTAACGTCAAGCATCCGCAGCTACAGCAAGCACCAGGCAACAACAGCCCTGATCCCGAACAAACCTTTCGGCTGGCCTCATCCGTTGCCGATCCTGATTTGCACTGTAGGATACGGGAGGAGAGGTGGGCAGCAGGCGGGGTGGGGGCAGATGAGGCTGTTGCACGTCTCCTCCTGTGTCATACGCTACTACTTCTGGCATGTGGCCCCAACGTCATGATGTTGCTATGTGGTCACGCATGCAAGCCCTGAGTCTCAGAATCTCTAAGCGCGGTGTGGGGAGGGGGGATGGGTGGACCTGACATTCAGAGTCGATTACTGACATCAGCTCTCACATGTGATGTGTGAGCTTTAGGAAATCAGAGGTCAGGGCCCCTTGGATCCCATGTTTAAACCCGATGTTCAACCCGACCCTCCCCCCAAAGAGCCATGCGGGTTGTTGCAAAAAGCCGGCCTTTTTGTTGGGTCCACCCTTTGTAGAGTCTGTAAAGCTGCAAAAAGTGTGGGGGGGGGGGGACCCAATGAGCTAGAACAAATCCACACCTTGCGTTTGCAAACGTAGGGTTGCTTAGCTAGCCATCATTTGGCATGATGGCAAGAAGCATGCGCCTCGCGAGGTGATAATCTAGGGGCCAGACGACAACCACGTCAAGTCTTCTTGGGGCCAAACCCTTGTGGCCCTGCTCCCCCATCAAGCAATTCATGGCCGCTGTGTCATGGCCATGTCTCCCAGGATCTCGTTCGTCGACTTCTTGAACTGCTCGGCGGCTGCCTGGCTGCGGGTCTCAAGAGCTCGGCAGACTTGGCTTGGCTGGGTGTGCAAAGGAACAGATTTGTCCTCTCTTGCGTTGCAGTCAAGGCAAAGCGGCCTGCGATGCCTATATGGCCCTGAACCACCCGCGTGCCTGCGCGTTCTCACCCACCAGCTGGCTGATCTGCGGCAAGGGGTATACAGTAAGGGGCGCTTTGTATGCAGTGGCAATTCACCTGTCTATCCACTCGACCCCGCGCTGCGCACAACGTTGGCTGCGCTTTGTCAGCCCCGCACTAGGACACTGGGCTTGGCTGATGCTGGACAACATGGCTTTGCCGCTCAATTGTGGGGCCTTGCCGCGTTCAGGAGGTAGGGTCAGATAGGGTGTCTGAATTCAAAGTACATGCTCACGGGTACATTGCCGAGAGCTACCCGCAAGCCCTTGTACCGTGGCTTTATCTCGTTCGCGCACTTGCGCTGCCACCTCCGCTGGTGTCGACAAATGATTTACCAAAGCCTGAACCTTAAGGTCATACTACACCTCCGGCTTGAGCTGAGAAAAAACAATGTCACAGCCTTCGTGCTAAACGTCTTCCTTGACAACATGCAACCCGTGCACCTGGTCTTTGGCCTCGTCAGCCTGCAGCATGGAGGCGCGGGTCGGCATTCAGGCTTGCAGTAAGGCTGTGGCTGCCGGAACTTTGAAAGACTGCATGAACTGAGGCAGCATCTACGCCAGGCAAACATGCCGTTTCACGTCGTTGTGCACACTGCGCGCGTGTGCAGAATGCCAAGAGTCTTGATTTCGAGAAGCGCCATGTCGCCATGCCAACGCCGAGTTGCGAGCTGACCGTATCCGAACCCAATCGGAGAGATCGCGCAGTCAAGGTTAAGCACCAGACTCGTAAAGACTGCCCATACTCGCAAAGACTTGCAGGAGCTGCTCATGTCTTTTTGAGCGGGGACCCCAGCAAGCCAGAACCACACCCGCCATCACCCGCCCAGCCTGAGCCTGAACGTCCGCGGCAATGTCTCCTGGCTGCCATGATTGTCGGCGGTTGAGAGGTTGAGTACGCGTGGGTCCATGTCAGGTCCATACACTGTAGGTCATGTCGACAGAGTTGCCATGTAGCTGATTCAACCGACCACCTTACAATGCTGAACCAGGCCTGAAACGGCTAAGAGCCTTGATCACCATTGCACATTTCTGAGGGGTTCGGAACTGAAGGCTCTGGCAAAGGTCAGGGCCTTGGGGTGTCGGATTGTAAAGCCATGAAAATCACGTGGGTCTGTGTGCAGCCGAGGGTTCCGGCAGCTTGCGTGATCGCCTGGCATGCATCTTTCTGCGAAATCAGGCTGCGTGACTTCCAAGAGATCTTAGAAAACTGGGGTGTCGGATCCCTGAAAGCAGATTACGTATTGACATCTCCACCAGCGATGGGTGTTATCATGACCTGGTCTCTCCGCAAAAACGGGTAGCCTCCCTATGTAGAAATCGGGACATGATGTCAGCTGATGCTCCTTTTGGCGAAATCTCACTTTGTAGGTGCATCCGACAGAACGTGCGGACGTAGGGTCTCGTGGCCATGCTTACAATGAAAAGCCCGGCTCCATCGTGGTTCGTAGCTAAGACAAGCCAGGTGCACCGGCGCAATCGTTACCGTTGCCACCGCTGGCGGAATGTCTGCCAGGGGCGGCGGCGCTGTTGGGTCCACAGCAATTTGTGGCGCCTCCGACCGTGGTGTTTCAGTTTACCTTCTTCTCGCCTTGCACATGTTGAGGAAACCGCTGCACAGCATTCTGCCTACAGCTAGTGCCCAACACAGCTAACACTGCCCAGTGGCGTATTGAGAAAAAACAAACAAACGACCACATCCAGTACATTATAATCGGAGGCGCATGGCGGCTCAGGTGTTTCATTGAATGGGCAGGGCCTGATTCGAATGCTCGCTTTGTGGCTGTGTTCCTGTGCGTAAGAATTAGCCTTGAGCCCCTGCACAGGCTGTAAACCGTACGATGCACTTCAGACCATTCTGGGGGCTGGGGGCGCTCCACATGCAGGGAGTTTTCCGCCCGACCATGCTGGCAACCCTTCCAGTCCTTCGCCGCGTCCTTCGCCCCTTCCGGGATCACACACTCCTGTGCCGGAGCCACAGTCAAACTATGAGCCAGGGGAGCACGGCTTCGAAAGCTACGTGAAAAGCCCTGGACACGGAGCGAAGATTCCGCAACGTGTGTCCCTGGACACTGCCTGTACTGTGAGCGTTGCGGGTATGAGGTGAGAAGGGTGGTGAAATTTCTGTGAGCTGGCACGGTTGGGAAAGCGGAGGAAGAAGGGGAAGAGGGGGCCAAATCAGGGGACCACCTTGTATAGACGTCTCTCTTCCTGGCAATTTGAAGTCCAGGAAAAGACGAAGACAGGTCGAGTTACGGACAACAGGCAGACAGAGGTTACGGAGACAAGGCAGGCTGGGACACTGGAAGGTTGTGGGATACTCTGTGCTGTCCTGTTCTCTGTATGATTACGGGTCTGTACATCGCCCAGAAAACATTCAAGGCATGCATGGCAGGTGACACATACCCAAGCAGGCCTATTGTCCCAAATCCCTTGAAGCCCGACTCCCAAGCGCCCTCCCCAGCCTTGGGGCCGCTCACAGCCTTCGGATCAGCCGTTTCTTTCCCCAGCTGGTTGAAGAGGTAGCAAGCACCTTGGTTTTGCTGGTCTTGGGGTTCATGAACCGGATTTTGAGTTGAGAGGAATAGACGTACCCTTCTGGAAGGGGCCAGTCGACAGGGTCAGACCCGCTGCAAAGTTCGAATTGGATGCAGCAAAGCTCACGGAAACAGAAGGGCTCAAAGCATCTAAGCGAAGCTTCCAGCCCGGGTCGCCCGGTCCACCCTTACTTGTAAGACTGCACAGAAACCTCTGTGAAAAGCTTCGAGCACTTCATGATTACCGGAGAGCAAGGGCTTATGGCGTTCAAGGTCTCCAAGGTTAAGATAGTTCTGGGGTAAGTGGTCATGGTGGCCAAATGCCACTGTCACTAGTCCGTGGGCATATATCCTACGACTTACTACTCACTACAATGATCTGGAAGCATCTCTTCGTAAGATTTCGCAAGTGCAGATGGGCACCGCCAGGGTAAGAGTCCTGCTTCCAGGTGAAGTGGATGCAAGTGGGATTCCTGTGCCACAGGCGGGCTGTCAGGGCCCGGCAACGTTGAGGAAACTCAAGCGACCAGAAATGACGAGAACACATGCGACATTCAAAGCCCTATATAGAAACTCTGCTGATGTCTGCTGACAGCTGACCAACCGCACCCCAAAGCCATCATGTCGGCATTCTAGCGCAGCAGTCTCTCATGCAGGAAGCCCAAAGTCCTTAAGCCTCGAACACCTTCAGTCCTCCGTAGCCCTTACAGGACCTTCGCAATTTGCCAAAGACGCCGCAGAATCCGAATCCGAAGTTTGGGCCCGTTACTCAAGGTGCCCTGAAAACCAAAAGGTCAAGTGAAACTCCATGGCTTCGGGCCAAGAGTCATCTTGCAGCTCCTTCCAGGTAGGACTTTTGTAGGGTTTGAGTTGATGAGTTTGGTTCTACTGTGTCTTCCGGCAGCGAACCAGACCCTGTATACGGAGTGAACCCGTCCCACATGCTGCCATCCTTCCAGCCCTGCCTGAAATCCTATTTGCTCTATAGCACTTGATAGGCTTGCATAAAAGGCCATTCATGGTGGCACGTCCTCAACCTCCCAGGCTCGAAACACCATGCAGCTGGGCCCAGATGCAAAACCTTAAGCTTTACAGCCCTAAACTGCGATAAGCCCGACGCAGGGACTTGCACGAGGTCCACCTAAGCCAAGCCCATATCCTGCACCTCTTTGGTCTCTGGCAACTCGAACAAGAGGGTTCGGTGCCAGTTTAGGGCGGTTTGGGTCTCGCTAGATGGCCGAGGATCCACTGGCAATCTTCGGAGCGGGCAAGGTAGGCGCCATTCGGAACACTGCTGGCAGAGTCCTGAGTCGGGGATCAAACCAGGGGCCTAAATGCGGTGAGCAGTCTTACATATGTTTGGACGAAGACTGGGCCCCACAAGAGTTGTGAGCCCCGCGATGCTTCACCGGACACGAAAAGTTCATCGGCCCTGCGATGGGGTCTGACATCTCTGCCCATCAAGCTTTATGAGCCTAATGAGAATTCTGTTGTGAATTTAGAATATCTCAAAAAGCCGACCTAAACCACATGCAACTTAGTCGTAAGGCCGCGCCCAAGCCCAGACAAAATAGTTACTCAGCTGTTCTGAACCTCACCAAAATCCCGAACGAATGCCACGGAAACCACTTGCCTTTGACTGCTGCTCCTCGTCATGTTCTTACTTCAAATCGCAAGCTTAGCTTGACGAGGCGCACTATCTTCCGAGTAGGCCACGCCTTCCTTGGCGCACCACGGCGCCTGGGAAGCTCAGGCACCACAAGGACTGCACAGGGGTTCTGTCTTGCTGAAGGTCGCGTGATCTTGTGGGAGGGGCCAGGCGAGCTCTTCTTTTCATGATTTTGCGCACGTCGTAAGCTAATGATCCATTTCTGGGCACTCCCCCGCAAACGACCCTTTACAATTTCTGGAGGAGGGGTGGGGGAATATTTCCGGAAGAGAGCAAAACATTGCACATGTTAGTCCTACGATGTCCTACAAGCAACTATAAAAAGGCGCCACAAATTACATGGCCAAAGCGCTATATCAAGACCAAGCCCAGCTAGCATGCCGCATGCCCACCGATTCCCCCATTCTAGTGGCGCTCCCGACCGTAAGCCCTGAACCCTTCAACCCCAAACTCGCAGGGCAAAGGCTCGGCAGCAGCTCCGCGCAGGGCTACGAGAACGGAAAGTCCGCGGATCATGGTAATGGCCTCGGGCTATTTCGGGCCTTTAGGGTGCTGTAGGGGCTTCTTCGGGGATGCCTCGGGAAAAAAGAGCTTGAAGCGTCAAGCGAAAGATCAACTCGAAAGTCTACAGGTCCGATTGCCAGAATGGTTGGGACAAACTAGAGACACCGACAGGGCATGAAACAACAACATCTGTCACGCGGTAGGACCTCCTAGGCCACAAGGGCACGCGACCACAAGGTCTAAAGTCTGGGGCTACACAGGGCCCTCCGCACAGGCTGCAATCAGCCGCAAGGTCTTGGACCTCATACAGGGTTAGTCCTGCCACTTCAGCAAGATTGCTTTGGTGGTACAGGACATACTGAAACTAGCCAAACACAAGGGATCGACCGTTGTGCATCCAAGATGCGCGGCAGATGCCAGAATGCGCAAAGGCAAAGATGCTTCTGGCTGTTCGATGCTTGAGCTCGGCTTCTCATCGTGAACAGTTTGGAAGTCGGGTTTCGGGCTTCTTGTGGGACGAGCGCACACTGCTGCTCACAGTACAGGCGCATATTGGGGCTGAAATCAAATGATGCGCAGGGTGGGCGGGGACATGCAGGTCGCCTGCGAGTGCGGTCATGTGGGGGATAGTAACGATTCACATTCTCAGACTTGCTTGCTACCAGTATATTCTGGCAACTTTTGTCTACGCGACAGATGTCGTTATTTCAAGGGCATCCCCCAGACCAGCCCCAATGCCTGCTCAGTTAATATGTGCATGTAAACCACATCGGTCTGCAAGGCTCAGTGTGCATTGACCTGCACCTGACTGCAAAGCGAAAAGGGGCAGGTCCGGACAGTGGGCCAAGACACCCTCAAGTCTAGCAGACCCAGTGCTGGAAGCAGGACCGTGTTAGAGGACACTGCGAATTCCAATCCCTTGGCGCCCGTTTTCATCGCATTGGTTAGTCGCGCACTGCAAAGCCAATCGAGACTCAGACTCGGACGACTAGGCCAGCCTCTTGCACGGACAAGTTTGCTCCAGCAGCAAAACGCCGACATAGCAGCTGTCGCAAAAAACTGACATTTCCGGCTTAGGGTGCGCTGCTCTCAGCATGTCTGCATGGCCCAGAGTCTTCCGAAGGTCGTCGACTGACACGTATGACAGCTAAGAGGGCCCGTCACGTCTCAGGCATTCCTTTCCAACAAAACATACTTTTTGCTTCTTATTAATATGCTGTTGCACCCACTCACCTCAACAAAACGCAAGAAAGACTGAGCTTCCTTGGCGAGGACGTCTTGAAGGACTTGGAGTTACAACGGTTCAATATGGTTCAATTAAGTAGCCTGAGCCGTCTAGGCGAAGGCAAGAAATCCATGTTGCCACGTGTGTGGCTCCGGTCGTTGAGCTTAGCTGGCTGATGCTTGCATGATGCGACTCACCTGTGTAATGTCGTTCAGCAGTGGGGCCAGCTGTGTGGCAGGGCAGTGCATTGCCAAGCTAAGTCTCGCCTCAAAGGAAAACACTCTTTGGCAGGCTCCAGTTCTTTGAGCGGGCACCTGCCTGAGTCAAGCTCCCAAAGCTCCCAGGACGGTTCAAAAAGGAACCTCGGCTGGCGTTCGTCTTTATCTTCCTGCTCAGACTATTGCTACCTGCATGAGCTTGCTTCGCTTGTCGCCGGGCTTTACCGGAAGCGGAACACACGACAGCACAGCTGATGCTCATCTACACGCGAAATGTCTCAAAGTGCGACCTCCGAATCCGCGCTTCCATCCTTGGACGTGACCTCTCAGGCCGAGGCTGGCGGCCGTAGCTCAAGGCAGCGACGTGAGGACCTCTCCGCGGGAAGTTGGTGCCGCAAGAGAGTCTTCAGGCGTCACCCACGCTTCGGCCTAAACCATCGGGTACTGGTAGGAGTACGCGCCGGCGGGAGCGCTGGCGGGCTGATAGGCCGGCGTGGCCGACACTGGGTTGTAGTAGATCCTTGCAAACAAAACAATGTCTGCTGGCCAAGTCCAGAGGCAAGTCTTTACCCGGGGCCGGAGACTGCCTGTAATCCTTGTCAAACTAATCCCGGAAGCTGAAAACCTCTGAGGCGAGGCGCTGCGGCGAAGCGGACTGAACCTGCGGGGTGTTGGGGTTTTGAACACTTGATTCGGGCGGTTGCTGCCGCTGCAAACTCTGGGCTCGGCTTTCTGCTTCAAGGTCGTCCGCGCCTGCTGGGCCATGGGCTGCATCATCATGCCCTGGTAACCCTGGTACTGACTGTAGCCTGACCCAATGCAGTGACCGGGGAGGGGGGGCGAGGGGCGAGGGGAGAGGGGAGGGGGGAGAGGGTCAGAGGGGCGAGAGGGGAGAGGGGAGGAAGGGCGGGAGCAAGACAGAAAAAGAGACAGAGACGAAGACAGGGAGAGAGTTGTATGTCAAACTATGAGCAGTATGCGTGCATGATACAGGACTCAACACGATCCGCAAATTGGGGTCTTTGGTGCCCTACTCGGACACTGCAGTAATTTTTTTGTGCAAACATCCCGGACCAAACTGACAAACTGCAAATGCAGACTCCGCAGATGGGCTGTCGGTATCGGCACTGCGGTGCCTGCCGGCATCGCGGGGGCTGCAGGAGTTGGTGCAGGTGCAGGGGCTTCCTCCGGAACGGAGTCGGCATGGAGTCGCACTCAACAGAGCCGGGGGAGGAGAGTCACAAGAGCTCAATCTTAAGGGGTATATACGGCATAGGCATAGGGGAAAGCCGAGCGATTGCCCAGGAAAACTCTCAGACACAAATGGCTCGTGCACCAAGATCCAAGCCCCTTTGGCAGAATGAGGCACGTCCCTAAATCCGCCCCAACCGGAGCTGCTGCCATCGTCCTCAATCATGGGCGCCTGACAGGCCGGCAAATATCCAAACATCTAGAGTCTGTCCCACCTTTCCTTCTGGCCGGTGTCCCGCCTTTCTGTGCTGGCTTACACAAAGGCACCTAGAAAATGCTGGATGCAGAATTAATACGCCCAAGGCCAGCTGAGAGCACAAGTGAGGTATTTGTAGCAGCGACCTTGCAACATGCTGCACGTCGCAAACTGCCAGATGCCAAGGCACGTCACAAGAAACTCTTGCATGACATGTGGCTAACCATCTCCTTCCTTGCCTGCTCCACGCCGACAGCACGCTTCGACTTCTTCTGCCGCAGGGAGCTGATCAACATGGGACATCGTATAAGCAGATGGGGGGAGTGGAAGACTGTGCGCGGGAGGGGTGGCGTTCACACCTCAAGATCGCGGGTTCACAAGGCCAGGTTTCTATACAACTCCTGTGTCATTGACTACAATCGTTCACACTGTCTTGAACTACATCTGGTCCCTGTCGATAGACTCGCGTCTGAATCACTAAAGGGTTGAAGCTTAGGCAGCGCATGCAGTCCTTCTTCTTCTCTCCTCCGGACATGAAGTAGTAGGCACCGCCGGCCAAAGCCGCGACTCCCGCAATGCCACCTTCGTCAGTGGCGCGGGGCATCAGATGGCATTAGCTTTTATCTTGAGCCCTGCACCATTTGACGATTCGAAAAAAAAACTCTCCATTCCAAGCGTGCGCAAAACAAAAGGGCTTGGGGTCGGGGAAGTCCGAGCGGCCGCCGATCCAAAACCGCCAAGACCGAAGGGCTCGGGCGATTCGGGCTTGCGAAGTTGAATCTATAGTCGGAAGTTTAAAACCATCCCACCCTTAATGCCGGAGCCGAAAGGTTCAACATGGCTCAACAGAAACGAGCTTGGGGCGCCACCAATCACACCATAGAGCGTGCCGTTGCCGCCGCCGCCCTCTGCTCCAGGGGCAGCGCCCAGGTCCTACATTGTGCTACATTCGAGGAGGGTTCCGTCATCTATCCCTCAGCCGGAAACCCTTATATCTGAATCCCTGAGCTTGAATATGCTTTGGGGTCTTTACGAACTACTGCCAGAAGTATTCCAAGAGCATTCCAGGAAGACCCCAAGAGCATGCCAAGACCACTCCGGACCACTCCCTTCACATGCCGAAAGGCCCAAGACCGTGGAACAGCGTGGACAGATTCTGCACTTGAGGAGAATGCGGACGGAACCGCAGGAGTACCATTGGGAAGACCGGATGTGCAAATCCCCCTTGAGGGGGTGCTTCGAGAGGCAGGAAAGTGCGTCTCTGCCACGTTCTCGCGAGTTTCTTCAGTTCAGCAGCAAGCCACATGAGCCCGCAGCAGTGAGCAGCAGTGAGCTCGTTTGCAGCTCAGCACACAGCTCAGAGCACGGCAGCCAAGGGAAGCATTGCAGGAGCTCGGAGCAATGTAGCCACACGAAGCAATCATTTTGCAATACTGCAAGGGCTCTGAAGCCTCTGTTGACAAGCAGGCGATTTTGCACCCGAAACCTATCAATCCCCATAAACCCTTTGGAAGGCCCTTAATTGAGCCCGCAAAACTTCCGTGTTCCAGTTCTGCAGTAAGACGTCGCACGTCGCTTGGGGCCACCACAAGAGATTGTTTGTCACTTTAGTTTTGAAACCTCTTAAACCTTCAATGAAATCCTACTTTTAGGATGCCAGAACGCTTCACGTCAATTCTATACGTCTTGAATGTGCACGTGTGGCCCTGGGGCGGTCCTCTCGTGGCAAGGTTTTTGGCAAGTGTTTTTCTGGGTGGGATCGGGTCCCCGAACAATGTCCTCCAAAAATGCAGGGGGCTATATTCATGATCAAACCCTCGGATTAGGGTCAACTTCAGGAATGCGGTCCCTGTCAACCTTGCGCACATTAACTGGCTTGCGGTCTAGGATTTGCTTTTGTGCCCCACTTAGCTGGACCTGTGCTTGTCTTCTGCCGTCCAGTTTAGCCTTTAACTCCCAAAAGTCGATCCGAGCACCGATACCCCCGTCAACCCTGAAGCGGCCATCCCGAGTGTCCAACTGTGAGGACTTGCAACCTTGAGCGTCCCAGGTGCCTCGCTCTGCGCCAGCTTGGTGATCTGCAAGGCAGGGGTTGGAGAGTGGCCGGCTGGCAGGGTTAGGAAAAGTATATCGGTGCAAGATGCAGGCCTGTGTAAAGTCTGCATGCCGCAGCCCAAGCACCCACGTCTAGCTGACTCGCACCGACTGGCAGACTAGCACTGGGAAACAGCAGCCGTAAGCGTGCATAAAACTCTCGGCTGGCCTGGTCCGCTGCTGGTCCTGAGTTTGTCAATGTGCAGTATAGTCTGGGGAGGGTGCAGGTGCCGCCGTTGCATGTCTCCTCATGTGTACGTATGTTGCCCTGATTGTTTTGCAACCACAGGCCCTCCACTATGGTTTCCCAGTCCACTAAACGTAGCAGCTTCAGGGCAGACAAGGTCGGGTTGTAGGCCGGCGTAACACCCCAGCAGCACTCCCACAAGTCAGAGGCGATGAGAGGGGACGCCAAGCGGCGCCCTCCGGTTGTCTTGTGGACAAAACCTCTTACGGCCCTACATCAAGTGCTTCAGAATTGATGGCCGTGTCTCCAAGGGCTTCCTTCGCCGACATCTGGAACTGGGCGGCCGCCTGGCTGCTGGTTTCAAGAGGTCGGCTGGCTTGGCCGGGCGCGGGGTGTGCACAGGGAAGGTTCCTTTCTTGCGTTACGTTTACATGGCAAAGAGCCCATGCCTGCTGTAAAACCTTGGCTCCAACATCTCGTCCAAAGATGTCCAAAGGCCACACCAGACTCCGAACCGGAAGCCGAAGCTTTCAAACCTAATTCACACCGAAAACGCCAAATGCCCAAAGCAAGACCCTGTACACCGGGTGTAGAAAGACACGTCCTGCTAATGCACGGTAGCCAGCATACTGCAGCCTGCTGCATTCACAATGCCGAAACTTGCAACTTCTGTTTGTGGGGCCTGCATGCGCATGACGCTTGTCGCATGTCTGGCGAAGGCCGCAACCCGAAGCCCCCAAACCCCTCGTGAATGGTGCACCGGGTCAAGCTCTCCCTCTTCGCCCTGCCGTCCTCGAATTGAGGGCTTTTTGAACTAAACCCGCCATGTGCCTCACCACTCAGGCCCGCCAGCGTGCTCATCTGTGCCAAGGCTGGGGTAAGGTTTAGGGGCACTTCCTTGAACCGCTTCGTTGGAGTATCCACTGGAGATGGTTGGAGAAGCGACAGCCTGTTTACTTCACGCAGCACACACGTCTGCCAATGCCCTACACATGCTGCAGTCAACGTTCGCCACGTCAGTTTCTCCCTCATCGCACACTAGAACGCCCTGGATTCTCTTGTTGGATAAAAATCCTCGAGAACGTACCCGTGACTTGCGCCGAGAAACACGTGCCAAAGAGGCCTCATGCAAAAAATGGCCAGCGGCTAGCGGCTAGAACTAACCCAAAATAACCTCAGGGCTGGCCTGGTCCGCTGCCGATCCTGGTTTGCACAGCAAGGGATGTGGGTCGCAGGCAGGTGCTCTTGCAGACGTCTCCTGTGTCGTATTGTCTTCTTGTTCTGGCATTCTGCCCGGCTATACCTATGTTTACTCAGCTTTATGGCTGTTTGGCATGATGGCCGATTGGAATATGTGCGCAGAACGCCAAGAAGCGCAGTCACAGCAAAGCCCCAAGCAAGTAAAGAAAGCCACGCAGTAAGCCGCGACAGCCTATCCCTCAAAGACCCGAGAAGGAAGGACAACCAGACCCTCAAGTTGTCGCGGGGCAACACCCCTTAAGGCGCCACACCCCACCAAGTGCTTCAGAATTGATAGCCGCGTCTCCCAGGATTTCGTCCGCCGACTTTTTGAGCTGCTCGGGGGTCTGGCGGCAGGCTGGGGGTGCAGAGGGAAAGGCTGCCTGCCTTGTGTTGCGTTGAAGGCCCTATTGAAGGCAAGGCTCCAGGTTACACCAGACTCCGAACCGGATGCCGAAACCACCTTCGCATTCGAACCTAATCAAGACCGAAGATGCAAGATGCCCATTAAGACAACACCCCGCGCACCAGGTGCAGAGGCACTTTGTCCTTCCCCTTCCCTTCCTTAACCCACAGTAGCGTTACGCGCCACAGCCGACTGCTGGTTCCTCAGCTTTCTTTACTTGCTTTTCGCTGCCGGCATTTGTTGCCAAGTCGTCGAACGCAAGAACTTCCCGAGAGATGCTGCCTGCCTGAGAGTACGTAAGACGTAAGAATGTGTGCGATGCGTGCCGGAAGTCGGAAAAGTCTCGTGTCGGGGCGCACGCACACACACACACACACACACACACACAGTCGTGATTGGGTGCAGCGGCATAAGCCAGCCTCGGGCCTGAGCCGGATTCATCTCTGGCGTGGGGTGGAAGGTTCGGGATTTACGGCGCGCGTGCGCGGGGTCCACAGCGGCCTCGGAGCTCGACCCAGGACCACAGTTGGAAACCGAGCAAAGAACGAGCCGGGCTCTTACCTTACGCAAAGATGCTTCATTTTTGCGCCTCCAGATGCTTCCATTTGTCGCCGCCCGAGCACATGAATGCACTGATGTTTCCACATAGAGTTTATAACTTTGGGCCTCCAAAAGCCTCCAAAGGTCAAGGGTGTGGAGCCTCACGCCGCTTTGCACCAGCAAACCAGCCACGTGCCTCACCGCTCACGCCCGCCAGCGAGCTGATCTGCGACAAGACCAAAAGGGGTGGGCAGCGATTGGAGAAGACTGTCCACTTCACGCGGAGTGCACATCTACCACTGGCACTGCGTACAACATTTGCTACATCTGTCTTGCTTTGGCATCCCGTTGCCCAAGCACGCACGACAAGCACCGAATCCCTGACCCCAAATACCTTTCGGCTGGCCTGGTCCGCTGCCGATTCTTAGCGCATCGTGTTCACATGGGGACAGGATCATACCACAAAAAGCAATCAAAAGCAGCTCACTGGCCCTCTGCGGACGCAAAGCCTCTCCCAACCGTTTTGCGACCGAACGACTCATGGTTGTGCCATGTCACCCGTACGCAAGCCCTTCTAGCTTCCGAGACATGAGGGGGGGGGGGGGGGGGGGGGGGGGAAGGGTATTGGGAGAGAGGCACTTCAGAGTACACAAGGTCGGTCCAACGAACTCCAAAAATGGGGGGCCGGGGGGTGGCCCAAACGCCAACCAGGCCCTCAAGTGCTCTTGGAGCCAAACCTTATGGCCCCACACCGCGTGTCAAGTGCATCAGAACTCATTGCCATGGCTCCAAGGAGTTCCTTCGCCTCCGTCTGGAACTGCTCGGCCGCCTGGCAAAGGGGTTGCATTGAACGCAAAGCGCCTTGCAATCCTTTGTCCGGTTGTGTGGTTCTGGACGTTTAGATTCTCAGGCTCGAGCCTCTAAGGCATCAGCCCAGTCCAAGGCATGGGTCTACGGTTTGGGTCATTTTATGGCATGGGTTGAAGATTCAGAATGTACTTTTACGGTGCGCATGCGCGAAGTGGGCTCCACCGCGGCAGAAGAAAGGGGGCAAATGCCTAGCCACCTAGCCGCTAGCCGTCACACAGCGGGGCCGGGAGCATCTACAGTTTAGGCTTTGGGGCTCACAACCCCAAGCCCTCGGCCCTCAACCCTTTTGCAGCAGTCTTCTCCGAGTCGTCTCCCCACCCGTGTGCCTGACCACTCTTGCCCGTCAGCTTGGTGATCTGCGGCAAGGCAGGGGTGGTGAGCCGTTGGTTTGGGGTTACAACTTTTCAGCGCACAGCAGCAACAATTTCTTGAAATGTGCTCTGTATGCAGTGGGGATGGTTGGCGAAGCACCAGCCTGTCCACTTCATGCATAACACACACACACACTCTCTCTCTCTCTCTCTCTCTCTCTCTCTCTCTCTTTCACGGCTACACATACACACCCCTACCTCTCTACCAATGGGCTGCAGTCAACGCTTGTTCTATGTCAGTCGCTGTACTCTGTCATTCCGCATTGGAACTTTGTACAATACCAACCCAGATTCTGCAGCATGTGGTTTCCCCATGAGCCTGCGCAACGTCAAGCATCCGCAGCTACAGCTAGCTAGCACTAGGCAGCAGTAGTCCTGATCCCAAACAAATCTTTCTGGCCTCGTCCGTTGCCGATCCTGATTTTGCACGGGAGAGGATGTGGGCTGCAGATGAGGCTGTTGTACGTCTCCGCCTGTGTCATACGTTACTACTTCTGGCATCCTTCTGGCTTGCAGTCGCAGACAAATCTGAACCTTCGTGTTCTACCAAGCCTTTTCAAGGGGAGATCTCCGAGACCACTCCGAGGATCTTCCCCCTTGATCGACATATCGCGGCACACGCCTATGCATCTCTCTAAGGTGACTGACAGACTCGTGACGGATGAACGACCGAAGGATTCATGATTGTGGTATGTCACCCGCATGCGGCCCGGGACCTCAAAACCTCTAATCTAAGTTGGGGGGAGCGAGGGGGGGACTTGACATTCAGAGGGACTTTAGAAGGTCTCGGAGGCGGCACCTTGCACCTTAGCACTCCTGCCACACGGATCTCATGTTTGAAGCCGATTCTCGACCCGACCCTCCCCCCAAAGAGCCATGAAGGGTTGTTCCACAAAACCGGCCGGGCACCCCTTCTAGAGTCTATAATGTCCACGACAAGGGGGGGAGCAAGAACAGTTTGCAGATGTAGGGTTGCATAGCCGGCCATCGTTCGGCATGATGGCAACTTTGCTTACATGCCCACAAGGCCAAGAAGCACCTGGGCGGCGAGGCCCCAAACAAGTAAACACAACTCGCCTCGTCAGCAACTATCCCATTTCTTTGGTTCGGATGTATAGGGCTTTCTTTCCCACTCTTCCGCTCAGAAGCGCTGCAGAGCACGCCAGGCCGGTCCGAGTCGGGAAGCGATGATGGGGCCCAAATGACAACCACGCCAAGTCTTCTTGGGGCCAAACCTTTATACGGCCCTACTCCCCAATCAAGCAATTCATGGCCATGTCTCCCAGGATCTCGTTCGTCGACTTCTTGAACTGCTCGGCGGCTGCCTGGCTGTGGGGGTCTGAGGAGCTCGGCAGACTTGGCTTGGCCAGGTGTGCACAAGGAACAGATTTTGTCCTCTCTTGGGTGGTCAAGGCAAAGCGGCCTGCGATGCCTATATGCCCTGGGCTCTGAAATCTCACCCAAGGTGGGGAAGTGTCACAATGACAAGGCTCGTGTCAAGGCCCTGAACCACCCGTGTGCCTGCGCATTCTCACCCATCAGCTGGCTGACCTGCGGCAAGGCAAGGGCAGGCTTTCGGGGTTCACAGCAGAGCAGCTTTGCAAGAGGCGCCCTATATGCAGTGGCAATGATTGCTGAGCTGCACACAACGTTTGCTCCTCGACACTATAGATATGATTCTTGACGAAGACCACCCTAAACCTCAAATTTGTTGATCCGGCCTGAGGAAGTTGAGAATAAGTAGGACAGGTTGAGGCTCAGGGCTTTAGGGCTTTACATGGCTCGGATTTATTCGGATTTGGGGTTGCATGCGGCCCTCCGACAGGGCCGAAACAAAGTCTTTGTGCTAAACGTCTTCCTTGACAACCTGCAACCCGCGCACCTGGTCTTTGGCCTTGTCAGCCTGCAGCATGGAGGCGCGGGTGCATCTACACCAGGCAAACATGCCGTTTCACGTCGTTGTGCACACTGCGCGCGTGTGCAGAATGCCAAGAGTCTTGATTTCGAGAAGCGCCATGTCGCCATGCCAACGCCGAGCTGCGAGCTGACTGTATCCGAACCCACTCAGAGAGATCGCGCAGTCAAGGTTAAGCACCATATTTGCAAAGACTGCCCATGCCATACTCGCAAAGACTTGCAGGAGCTGCAAGAAGACTTGATGTCTTCTTGCACGGAGACCCCATCAAGCAAGAACCACACCCGCCCGGCCTGAGCCTGAACGTCCGCGGCAATGTCTCCTGGCTGCCATGATTGTCGGCGGTTGAGCGGTTGGGTCCATGTCAGGCCCATAGTTAATGGCTACAGAGTTGCCATGGAGACCGGAAACTGCAGGGGTGCTCCAGCCGCTTAACCACCGTAGCTGATTCAACCGACCACCTTACTAACAATGCTGAACCAGTCCTGAAATGTCTAAGAGCCTTGATCACCATTGCACCTTTCTGAGAGGTTCGGATCTGAAGGCTCTGGTAAAGGTCAGGGCCTTGGGGCGTCAGATTGTGCAGCCATGAAAATATGTGGGTCTGTGTGCAGCCGAGGGTTCCGGCGGCTTGCGTGATCGCCTGGCATGCATCTTTCTGCGAAACTAGGCTGCGTGACTTCCGAGAGCTCTTGGTACTAGGGTGTCGGGTCAGAGGCCGGCCTATGTCAAAACAATCGGGACATGATGTTCGCTGAAACTACTCCTGTCGTGTGGGAGCATCCGGCCGACCGGCGTCCGAAAGGATCTTTTGACTCTGGAGGCCCACGGAGCCACCGGTAGATCCTCGCGGCCATGCTCACAATATTAAAGCCGGGCTCCATCGCAGCTGAAAGCTGAGACAAGCCAGGTGCACTGGTGCAACCGTTGCCAGCACTGGAGGAATGGTTGCCACCGCAGCCAGGGGCGGCACTGTCGGGTCCACAGCAACCTGTGGTGCCTCCGGCTTCATGGCTTATCATAGACATGCATGTTGCAGCCCAAAGGTTTGGTGTTCAGCACTGAAGAAAAGGCCTGATGCGCATACGCCTTATGACCTATGACTGTGTTCACGTGCTGAAAATCACGATGGGCCCGGCTTATAAACACGTGAGCGATGCACGTCGACGTTTCTCAAGTCATCCACCCGAGCGGGCTGGCAGTCCTTCCAGTCCTTCGCCGCTTCCTTCACCCCATCCGGGATCACACACTCCTGTGCCGGAGCAATGATGTTGAACACAAATCTATATTAGACGCCCTTGCGTGTATGTATATATATATATATATATGTATAGATACGTATATATATATATATATATATATGGTACCCCCCCCCCCCCCAGTGACCTACCCTTTTTCGCCTTGTCTCAAGTCACCCAGCTGCACTGCAAGCAAACTCGGTGTGCAATATAGCGTATTTCCTAGGGCGTAGACTAAAATACAACTAAAATCGCATACACGGGACAGTAGAAAAACCAAAATACCAAAACCAAAAAAACCAAAAAAAAAAAAAAAAAAAAAAAAAAAAAAAAAAAAAAAAAAAAAAAAAAAAAAAAAAAAAAAAAAAAAAAAAAAAAAAAAAAAAAACAATTTTCCGGAACTCTCAGGAATCCCTATGAGGCTTCTCCAAGAGTCCCGGAAAATTGGTTTTTTTGTGCTTTTGGTTTTTTTGGTTTTGTTTTTTTTGTTTTTTTTGTTTTTTTTTGGTTTTTTTGGTTTTGGTATTTTTGGTTTTGGTATTTTGGCTTTTTGGTTCGCCTTCACGGTCACGAGGCAACAACAACGCATTTTTAAGTGTGCCTATGCTAATTGTGCTTTTCAGAAATAGTATACAAGTGGTCTTTCTAGTGCTTCAGAACTATTTGTTTCGTATATAAGTAGAGCCGCTAGTGTTTAGTGCATCTTTTGGTTGTACTCAAGTGTAGTAGACCTTATTCAGCCATTACTTGGTGCTCTGGTAGCTAAATTCGCATGGATAATATTTGCCTGGTAACAGCGATTAATTATCTAGAAGCAGCATTTGCAATACTTGTCTTGAGAAAAAGCATTTATTGCTTAGAATTGTTTGCTTAAAAAGTGACTCCTACTCGTCCAGGGATACCCCAAAACCCTATAATCCAAACTTCACCAGAGATTCTCTTGAAAAGCTTGCTTTTGGATGTTTTTTATGTATTTGTGAATTTGCTTGTGTATGGCCTTCACTAAGTACTTTTCTAGGATTCTTGTGCATTTTTAAAGCCTGATTGTGCAAGTTGCGTTTGTCAAGCATAGTATATATGTGGTCTTTATTGAATACTTCAGACATCTTGGTTTCATCGTTAGGTAAGTAGACCCGCTTCTATTTCCATTATCGTGCATTTTTAAGCTTGCTTATGCAAATTGTGGTTTTCAGACATAGTATATAAGTGGTCTTTATTGAATACTTCAGCTATCTGTGTTTCATTGTTATGTAGGTAGAACCGCTTCCATTTCCGTTAGTGTTTATTTCGTATTTGGTTGAGTATGGTCCTGTAAATAGTATTCACTCGAGTCAAATTGGGCTATTTGCTTAAGAATTCCTCTAGTTAAATTCGCATAGAATGAATACTTCAAAAATACAAGTTGTTTCATGAATATGTAGACATAAGGTATTTCATGTGACTTTGCAGATAGTATTTCAATAATGCTTTGCCTGGTATAAACACAACTGTTTCAATGCATTAGTTGCTCAACAAAGCACTGTTTGCCCTTTAAACCACACTTTGCCATATTTTGGTTGAATATGGTGCTTCTTTCGTATTTTGGTTGAGTATGGTCCTTTAAATGGTATTCACTTGAGTCAAATTGAGAGAGCATACTCTGCCTAGTACAAACACTATTGTATAAATACAGTAGTTGCTCAACAAAGAATTATTTGCACTTTAAACGCACACTTTGCCATATTTTGGTTGAGAATGGTTGAGTATGCTCCCTTAAATAGTATTCACTTGAGTCAAATTGGGCTCTTTGCTTAATAATTACTCTAGTAGTTAAATTCGCATAGAATCAAGAAAATGTTTCACTCTCTGATTAATACTTTGCCTCGTACAAACACAATTGTATAAATAAATTAGTTGCTCAACAAAACATTAATTGCCCTTTAAACGCACAATTTGCATGGAAAAAACACAGATCTAAACATCTAAAAACAGCATATGTAGATTAGTCCAATGCTGGCTTATCGAGGTCTGTGAGGTGGGCGTCCCAGTATCTGTCCTTCATTACCCGGTGATTAACTACGCGACTTTTGGGCCTTCTTTCTTGTTTTTTGTTAAAAGGCCTAAAAAGGCCTAAAACGGGTAGGTCGCGGGGGGGGGGGGGGGGTAGCATATATATATATATATATATATCCTACATGTTATCCCAGATTCCAGGATTGGAGCTACGCCACATTTGGAAACTATGAACCTACGGAGGGAGGACCGGGAGATTTCAACCTCTAAGGCTGGTAAGTACTCCACGCCAAGCAAACGACGAAGAGAAAGGTCCAGGTAGGACAACGGGCCGAGACGGGGGCTACGGAGACAAGGCAGGCTGAGACAGCGGAAGGTTGCAGGATACTCTGCGCTGTCCTGTTCTTTGTATTGCTCCAGGTCTTTATATTGTTCCGGCATATAGGGACCACATTGTCCCCCTTTTAGTCTCTGCTCGAAACGTGAGACAAAGGGGCCGTAGTTGACCTCGTGTCGCTACAGTCTTCTCTTCGAGATGCGTGCGGCAGGTGACACATACCCCCAAGCAGGCCTATTTTCCCTAATCCCTTGAAGCCCGACTCCCGAAATCACGGGCCCCTCCGGCCTTGGGGCCGCTGACAGCCTTCGGATCAGCCGTTTCTTTCCCCAGCTGGTTGAAGAGGTAGCAAGCACCTTCGTTTAGCTGGTCTTGGGGTTCATGAACCGGTTTTTAAGTTGATAGGAATAGACGCACCGTTCTAGCTCATGGTAGCCACTTAAGGCGCAAGTCACTTCAAGGAGTTCGGTCCATGAGACGTACTCCGTGGGCATATGCTACGACTTACTACTCACCATACACTGATGTGGAAGCATCTTTTCGTAAGCGCAGATGGGCGCCGCCAGGGAAGGAGTCCTGCTTCCAGGTGAAGTGAATGCAGGTGGGATTCCTGTGCCAAAGGCAGGGTGTAAGGGTCTGGCAACCATTGATTGAAACTCGCGGGACCAGAAATGACTAGAAGCAGACCCTGAAATCCCAACACCTCACCTTTGACATTCAAACTGAGATCTGCTCACCTTTTACCCGCTGCACCCCAAAACCGTCCTCTTGGTGTTCTAGTGTGCCGTCTCTCATGCAGGAAACACAAAGAGCGTTAAACCTTAAGTCCGCAACCCTTACGGGCCCTTCGCAACTGCGCACAGACGCCAGAGAATTTCCGAATCCGGGGTTCCATGAGCGGGCTGGACAAGGTTCCGCAAGGTGCCCCGAAAAAAAAACCCAAAAAAACATCATCAACGGGAGCTAAAGCCCAAGGCTTCGAGCCAAGAGTCATCTTGCAGCTCCTTCCAGGCAGGACTTCTGGGTTTGAGTTGCTTTCTTTTGAACTTCGCGACCTGCTACTTCTCGAGAAGGGAAGGCCTACCCGTTCCACCCTATCTTGCTTTAGTCCCGAAAACTGCACTGCATGACCACGTTCCAATCCTGCCTGAAATCCTACTTGCTAGTGAGTCGCCCACCTTCAACACCTCCTCGACCTCCCGATGCACCATGCAGCTCTCACGAACCCCCTGCCACACCTCCGCTAAACCCTATAAGCCCTGAGTGCCAAATGCAACACATTAAGCCCGAAAACCGCTAAACCTCACACAAGCATGATGTCCACCAAAAGCCGCAAGCCCAAGCCTTCACCTTTTTGGGGGCAGTTGGCGATTTCATAATGTAGTGTGTAGCTTCTCTAGCATGGGCTAGATGGCCGAGTATCGTCTGGC